GCCAGGCATATTTCCCCACCCAACTCCATTCCCCCAGCAAAATAATTTCCATATCCATCTGATCCCCCTTCCCTCAAGCCACAATACTTTCCTTCATATCCCTTACCCTTAGCCAATAGAGGGGTGGAGAAAGGTTAGTCCTAACGGTTCAAATTCAGTGGGATTAAATTCTCCCCCTGAATCCCACCCCATCCCCATGTTTTCTGGAGTCTCTAGTCCCAGAAGATTGGGGGAGGGGATGGGGGAGCCCCAAGGGGAGCCAGAAGGCCAGACAGCCTCAATCCTCAATCCATTTGCACTATCGATTTCTCACGCACTGTGGCAGAAAGCCCAGAGGTTGGGGGTGGGGGATGACATAGCCCCCCAGAGACAGAGACACAGACAGTGACTGAGAGGGAAGGAGGAGGGGCAATATCTGCCCAAGTCAACTGAGATCAGCTGAAGGTAGGGGAGGAAGAGAATACATTCTTCCAGGCAGATTGAATACTGGTGTGAAAGGTTGGGAGTCGGTGATGGAATACTGAAGGAATCGGGCCTTAGTAGATACTCTGTGGGACACTAGATATCCTAGTCAACTTCAACCCACCCAACAACCTCTATCACAGTCTTCTTCCTCCCTCCTCTCCTCTACATCCCATTCCTCATCTGTCTCTCTGCCCCAAGTCTCAAATGTCTGTCTTTGTTCACCTTCCTCCTCCCATTTCCAACTTAAGAGGAATCAGAAGTTTAGTAGAAGGAGCCTTGGTAATGCCCACCTGTCCCATACTGAAGGCAGTGGAGTATAGTGGAATAGTACTGGGTTTGGAGTCAGAGTACAATTATCTATCACTGTGTGACCTTGGGTCCATTTTCTGAGAAAGTTAGATCAAATGACCTTAGAAGGTCCCTTACAGCTTTAAATCTTTTATTCCTTTGGGGGTGAAGACTATGTAGAGGACCCAAGAAATAGCCTGGAACTCTTTCCTGAAGCCTTCTGTAAGGAAAATGGGAGGAATTAGCATCATCTTCAACTTATACTGATCGCCTCCTCTGTATTAGGTTTTATCATTGAGTGGGCACAGAGGACCCTAATAAACTGTTTTTTTGACATGAAAGCTACATAATAATGCTGTAGAAAGTCTCAGTCCAGGAGACGTGGTTCCCCGTCCTGCCTTTGCTACCTTGGGCCTTAGTTTCTTCAAGCTTTCGAGTGTGTGTGTGTGTGTGTGTGTGTGTGTGTGTGTGTGTGTGTGTGTACACACACACCTGCATAGGAAATGGATTAAATTAGTGGAGCAGATTTAGAGCTAGAAGGAACCTTTGAGGTAATCCATTTCTAACCTCTCATTTTACATATGAGGAAATTGGTCCAGAGAAGTTATAAGACAAGGAATGATTCGAACTCAAGTCCTGCGATGTCAGATTTAATGTTGTCTTCATTGCACTAAGGTCCCTTTTAGATCAGACCTTCCAAAGTCCAAATTCCCCTAGTTTTAACCCAATTGTCTGAAATACTACCCAAACCTAAAACCTGTCTTCATTACAACTGCTGGGAAAACCTGTATCCAGAAATCAGAGACCGATAAACAAACCAGGGTAGGGCTCTGCATCAACAAAGTGTGGCCTCAGCAGATACCAAAGTAACTAAATCTGACAAAAGAGACCCTATTGCAACGTTACACGGAAGGAGGCAACCTTTGGCAAGACAAAGACCCAGATCAAGCAGCCCAAGGAGCTTAGGATAGGGATGACAAAAAGGCTGGGGCTGCTTTTCCCTCCTCTACTCTGCAGACTTTCTTTTAGCTCCACTCCCTCAGGCTGGGTCAGACCACATTCCAACCCCCGGGCTCCGATACTTACATCTCAGATCTGACTCTATGACCCACCCTCCCATAACCACCCCAAGTCCAGTGCCCACCCCTACCCTTCTACAGCTCCCTCCCCATCGCCAACAGTCCCTTAGGTCCCTCCTCTCTCCTTCAGCCCCCACCCACCCACCTTGGCCAACAGTCCCCCTCTGCCCCGTGCCTTTCTGCACGTCTCTCCTGCTAGGGGACAGGCCAACTAAAAATAGTCCCTGCTGCCTCTCGCCCACAGCTGCCCAAGGAGCAGGAAATGAGGGGGGAGGGAGAGAACTGTGTGCCATCCTGCTCCCCCCCATTCTGGGCTCAGAACGATGTCCAGCACTTCAGCCTAGGGCAGGTGCCAAATTGGCCATCCTGAGGACATCCTACCCTCTTGGACAGTTCTAGCTGTCTGTGTCTACATTCTCAGAGCCAGCTCCCACCACCACCAAAGAAGAAAGGAAAGAGGGGGCAGACTTGAGGACTCTTTCAATCCTCAACCAATCAAGGTCAGCCACATTGTGGGCATCAAACAGAATGGTGACCAGCCTAAAAGATTGAGATACTGGAAGCAGAAGGAGGGGAGAGAATAGTTTCGAGAGTTGGGTGAGGAAATACCAGCTCCCTGGCCCAATCTGAATGACCGGGTAGTGGAGACTCCCTCCCCTTCTCCAACTCTCCTGGGCATAGAGCCCTTTCTCCCTACTAGCTGGAAAAGGTCAGTGCTCTAAGAACCTAACAAGAAAAGGAACCAGAGCAGAAGATAGTTTAGTAATCACCCACCTATGTGAAAGAGCCAAGCAGGGCATGGAGAAGCTAAAAAAAAAACCTCAGCTCCTTAAATATAAAGCTGGAGGCTGGTATACTCACTGGACACTCTACTAGGCTATGCATGCCTGCCTGACCCAATCCCAATGGCTTTGGAAGCCTGGGGGTTAGGTTGGGAATGGGGGTTGTGATGACTACATTAATGGTGTCCTGGGATTTCCAGTTACCTCCCAACCCAGAGAGATGGTTCTCCCAACCCCATACAAAAGGAAACCAGCTCAACAACTCTCCACAGGCTGCCAGCGAAGACATACAACAGTGAAGAGGCAAACCCAGGAGTCCTGGATCTCAGCCCAGAGACTGAGTGAGAAATACCTTGGAGGTGAGGAAAAGCCACAGAAACACCCATATAGCTCTTGCAGAATCCAGACTGTAGGCTCAGTGGGAAGTTCCAATAGATGGACCGAGAAGTAAGAACCTCCCAAGGCATCAGGAAAGGACAAAGGGCATTAGGGATTGGCAGCTGGGAGGATCTATGGATCTTAGGGGGCCAATTCAATATTTATGAAGCCTTTACAAGGGTAGCTAGGTGACACAGTGGATAAAGTTTCAGGCTTGCAGTCAGGAAGATTCATCTTCCTGAGTTCAAATCTGGCCTCAGACACTTACTAGCTGTGTAACCCTGGGCAAGTCACTTAATTCTGTTTGCCTGTTTCCTCATCTGTTAAATGAGCTAGAGAAGGAAATGGCAAACCACTCCAGTGTCTTTGCCAAGAAAACCCTGAATGGGGTCATGAACAACAACAACAAGCATTTACTATGTGCCAGGTACTGTGTTAGGTATTGGGGATACAGAAAAACAAACCCACAACCCAACAGTTCTTTTCCTCAAGGAGCCTCCATTTTATTGGAATGCAAGAGAGAAGGGATATCATCTATTCCCAGAAGACAGAAGCCCCAACTGTAGGAAGCCACCAGATCTGTCCCACACTATCTAGGTCCTTGTCTTCACTCTGTCCCAGATGTGAAAAACATTAGCAAGAAGCAGACACCAAGTATCTGGCAAGATATCAACAATGCCCACAGTAAATTCCCTGACCATCACCACTAAAATACCCATCAACTTGCAGTCCCTCCAAACTATTCATTTCTAACATCCCTCTTCCCTCTGGCCATGCCAAGTGTAGTTGAGGTGTGGGTACAACCAGGGTGGTAGTGCTCTGGGTACTATTCTCTGACTATCCCCACACCCTAGACTGCTTTCTCAGCCACCACGAATCTCAGCTGTCCAATCTGATTAGTACTCCTGCCCACTGAGCCAGACAAGGAAGCCATGGGGCAGGGGAGAGACAAGGCCAAGGACAGCAATTGAAGGATGGAGGAAAGAAGGGGGAGTCAGGGTTGGGGTAAAGAGGTACAGCTCCATAAAAGAGAAGTTAAGAACCAAGCATACGGACAAGCTTCATACCTACAGGGGAGAATGTGAACCCTTGAGTCAGGGATGATGGGAGAAAAATCTCAGTAGCAGCACCACCCTCCCCCTACAACAAAACCTGATGATTTATTCTCTCTCTCCCCACATCCCAAACTATCTAAGTCAGAGAACACTTTTTTTGGAGGGTGGGGGAAAGATAAGATAGAGAAGCTACTGGTGAACTGTTAGGCAGCTGAGCAAGTAGACCATAGAAACGCTCCCCCTCCCAAGTTCATATCTTATTACAAAGAAAAAAAGAAAGACCTTAAAATCAGCCACTCATACACAACACAAATCCACCAAAAAAAACTAAGAACAGTGTTAAGGGGCAGCTAGGTGGTGCAGTGGATAGAGCACCAACCCTGAAGTCAGGAGAACCTGAGTTCAAATCTGGCCTCAGACCAAACACTTGACACTTACTAGCTGTGTGACCCTGGGCAAGTCACTTAACCCCAATTGCCTAAAAACTAAAAAAAAAAAAATCAGCCACTCACCTCCTCCTGCCCCCAGGTCAAAGGCCAATGGCACCGTGGGTCACCAGAGCACACCCCACTAGGCCCAGCTTCATGTGTCTGCAAGGAAAAACAGGGGCCACACCAGTGGTTCCAAGGCTGCCCTTTCTTGTTCTGCCTCCTTCCCCTCCCCAACCTACTTCCCCCTTCTAAAGGGGAGCAAGATACACATGAATACAGAATAACTGAGATTGTCACACACATTGACACAAAGTCACGCTCTAGAGCTGCTAAGGATAGGACCAGTTCATCTAGCTACTCCTCCCCATGGAAGGAAAAAATAACAAAGGGTAAACATGGAAAAGCAGAAAGGCCTCAGGGCCACCCAGCCCCAGGGTAACACCAGAAGCCCAGGGCTCTGGAAAGAGAGGAGCCCAGGGAGTTGGCAGGGCTGGGCGACTTCCCGGTGGCCTCCTCCATCTGGCCCACAACACCCCCCTCCCCTCCCCAGCCATCTGGGCTCAGCCTGCCTCCTTCCTTTCCTGGGCCAGACTCTGGAATCCCTCTTCTGCTCATTCAGCCACCTCTAGGACAGCACAAGATCCTACAACCAGACACCCCCGGCAAGGCTGGTCAAGGCAGGGACAAGGTCATGTCTATTTTGTTGCGTGTGTGGTTTTTGTTTGTTTGTTTGTGGGTGGGGGGGAGAGGAGAAGGGGAACAGGTGCTGAAGGAATGAAAAGCTTAGGGAACTTACAAGAGGTTTGGAAGAGAGGGCCAAAACAGGGCAGGGCCTCACTCCTAGGCCCACCCAGCGACCCTTAGAGCTGCCTATGAAATTCTCTCATGACCCAATCCACCACCCTTTTACCTCTGACCAACACAGTGAGACATGGGCAGGGCCTGGGAAGAAGTATTTCAACTCCTTTGCTTCTCTCTAATGTTCAACAAGCCCCCCACCCCCATTAAACTTTCTATTCTTCCCCTCACTGGCTCGAAGGAGCTAAGACACAAGCATAGCCAGCTTCTTCTCTCTAGGGTTCTCCATCCCTCCATTCTCCCCTCCCCCCAGTTTACTATATTTTCTGCACACATACACATACACACACCCCAACTTGCTGAGTCTCCTTTTTTCTTGGGGAGGAATAGACATTATTCTAGCACTGGGTTTGGTTGTGGGGCCTGAGTAGACCTCTTCTCCACTTTCTGCTTTTACCCGGGGCAAGTGCAAGGATAAGGGGCAAAAAAGAAAAGAATCGCCAGGGAGAAAATATGGAAGGTTAGGGAGCCCAGAATTAGGAACTTTCTGGGGAACCCCGCTGTTCTTGTTCCAATAGCCCTAGACTATGGTGGCTAAGGTGGGGGGAAGGGATGGGGATAACCTGAGATGGTAAAAGAGCTGAGGCTCGGGCAAGTGGCCAGCCCTGGGGACATGTAGGTGGGGGCAGGGGTGCAGAAGCCTACCTGCTCAGGTGTGTACTGGCAAAGGGGCGATGGGGCTCCCAGGAGATACGGGGAAGCCCTCAGCTCGATTCAGGATTCCCCCCTGCTTCTGGATTAGGCTGCTGCAAGAGGCGCCGCTTCCCGTTGGGTCCTAAAGCCCATGGTCCAACTCACGTTCTCCCCGCCCTCCTTTGCCAGCCCCGGCTGGATCAGTGGGTGCAAAAAGCTGGAGCCTGATTTTTCTTTGGGGGCTGAGGGGAGGAGAGTTGAGTCACAGGTGGGATTGGAAACTAAGGGGCACCTCCACACACATTAGCATGGAAGTGGAGTGGCTTCCACCCTCCAACCCCTTCCATTGGGGTGAGCAGCCAAGGCCTTTCCTGCTTTGAAGTAAAAAGGACTTTGATGGCAACAAACAGAAATCTAATCTAATCTTCTCATTTTACAGATGAGAAAAGAGGTCCAGAGGAGGTGGTTTGTCCAAGATCGTGGGAGTCCTGGAGACAACATTTGAACCCAGGTTCTGTGACTCCAAAGCCAATGCTTTCTTGACCCTGGGCTAACTTCGGGTAGTTTGCCTTTTCTTCCTGGCAGAACTATGTTGTCATCTCTGCTCCCTCCCAATCCTTCACTAATGCTCCCCTACCTTATCAGTTACTTATACCTAGGAACCTTTGAGACAGCTGAGGAAAACTGGAACCTGATTTCTAACACCAGAGAAAGGATGGCTTCAGAGTTATTGCTAGAAGCTAAGAATCTATGATGAGGAGCAAAAAAGGTATGGGTTAAGTAGGGATTCTGTTATTTGGAGAAGGAATACTGGAGCCTCAAGACAACAAACTTTATCCCCTCTGGGGGATCAATCTGACCAATCTCACCCCACTGACATAGAGTTGGTCTATACTGCCAGTGAGCAATATCTTTAGAAAGCATTTTGGGGGGGGAGGGGGGTGGGGGTGGGTGAGGGGTGTTACATGACACTCATAGGCACCCTTTTAGAAAGGGAGGGGGGTGTGAGGAACAGATCACTTGGCAAGTTAGATCAACACCAAGGTTACTGACCTAATTTAGGGTGGCAAATCATCCTAAGCATCTTAGAAAGTTCAGGTTGGGACAGGGGAGAGGCGCCAGGTAGGTAAGAGGGGCAGAGCAGAGTATGACTGCACCCCAGCTGGCTGCTTGGTAGCATTTTGTAAGTAGAGTTGCATAGTTCTCCTCAGCTTAGAAAAGCTACTGGCAGGAGAACAGGGAAAGTGTCATGGGGTGGAGGGCCAGGGGAGCCCAGGGACAGATTTCAGTGAGGGAGAGAGGGCGTGGACCTTTCCTTGAGAGGAGAGGAACTTCAGTGAAGCCTGTAGGGCGAAGACACCTCCCACCACTAACAAGAGCCAACTGAAGAAAGAAGTAAAAGCAGGCAGTGTGGGGATGAAGACCCTGGGGTGGAACCAGGCAGGGTGATTTGGGGCCAAATCTTTCACCCTCTTGTACCTCAGTCCTCCTCAAGCTGTAAAACAAAGCTTATAGTCCTTCCCAGGAAGTTAATAAGTATTTACAAAAGGGCTTGGAGATCTTCAGATCTCAAAATGGGCCACCACTGTTGTGAGTTCAGTAAAGGAGGTTGTGACTGTGTGTTGGAGTAGGGGTGGGGGAATGGACTAGTGCCCTGCAAAATAAGGACAAGGCCAAGTTTAGGGAAAAGTACAACCCTCAGCCACAGGATATCCTTGTGCCCAGAAATGGAGGTCACCCCCCACTCCCCAGCAACCACCAGAGGCTGGCCCCAGCTGGTTATAGGCATGGCCCAGACCAGCAGCTGGTCTTCGTTAACTCCAGCTTTTTTTCCACCCCCCACTGGTAGCCCATAGCTTCTGCAGTCCTAGGCTGAGAGGGGGTTGCCCAAACCCGACCTTGTAGCTGGCTCTGGAGTTGGGGTACTGTACCAAAGGCCAAGTGGTTGAGAGGGTCAGAGCAGAATTCTATCTCTTTCATAAGGAATAGGAAGATTGGAAAGAAAGGAGTAAGGGGGTGAAAGGGTGGAGGTGGGGGAATTTAGGGCAAACAGCAGGCAGTGAAGTCAGCTGGATTTAAGCCCAGAAACCCCCACACCCTGGGGCCAAGTCTTACTCTTTACTCTCAGCTCTAGTCTTGGCCAGGCACCAAACTGCAGGGAGGGCCCCGGTTGCCCCCTTCCGCCTCCTCGCCTCCCTACTCCCCCCCCTTATTAAATACACATTTTATCTCTCAGCATCTTCATTATCTTAACTGAAGGAGACAAGCAGTGTATGGCGGCTGTAGAGAGCGTCGGGGGGGGGGGGCACAGTGGCGCACCCTTGTTAGAAAGTGCTGATCTAGCTCTTTTAGGCTGTGTGGGAAACAGAGGCGAGATCAAAGGGACTGAGGCTGATTCAGAACTCAATTAGTGCTTTTTAAAAAGGGAGCTCTCTCTCTCTTCTTGCTAGTAGTCAAACTGCCTTCACCCAGGCCCCCTGCATCCAATTAGCTTCTACAGCCAGTGCCCTGGGGCTAAGGCTAAAAACCAGTGGGGAGACAGCCACAGGAGTAGACTCCCACTACCTCTCTTTTCCTATTACTGTTTGAAAATTCACAGAAATTGAGGGTATCTTGGCTACGATATATTTTGCAGGGCAGAATAGGGTGGGTGGTATGGCAAGATAACTGGACAACCTCCCCAAAAAGGTGAAAAAGGTAAGCTTAAGATTCTGATAGTTGGTAACTCCCACCCTCTGGATATATTCACAAGACTTCAGCCTCTACCCAACCTGAGGCCCTTTCTTTAATAGCAGAGGCTTCGGAAAGAGAGCAACAAGGAGGTCACTGGAAGCAAAACACTAAATCAGAGAAAGGATAAGAACGCATCTGTGAGGCCAACAAATACCCCACAAACCATGCCAAGACACATTTTGAAAGAATGAGCATCCTCCTTCTGAAGGGGCCCAGGAGAAGCCAGTTCACTGCTATAGTGTAAAGTTACCAGTAACATTAACATTTCTCACCTATAAGCCAGGTCTCTCCTTCAAAATGGAGAGGTAGCACTCTGCTTGACCCAAGGATGTTTCTCATCAAATTATGCTAGAACAGAATGCCATCAGAAGGAATAAAAAAAAAAAACCTAACTTTTCCTTTCTCCATTCTCACTAGTATTTTAAAAGGGTACTCACAGAAGAGAATTAGTGGGCAAGAGAACAAGGCTCTGATAACTTCTGATCTCTAGATTCCCTAGACCTTAATGGTTCTCTTGCCAGGTATCTGGCCATATGCAAATCCTTACTGAGTGAGCCAGAAATGCTTAGGCGAAACTTAGGTTCACATTTACACGCTGTACCTATATTCTTCCACCAGCAAAATCCAAGGGATCCAATGGTCTAACAAAAACTTGGGAGACAGGAAAAATTCACCTGGTACAAATTAAACAGTTATAAACACACTAGACACACATACACACAAACGGAGGTCAGCATCTTTGCCATCACCTTGTACAGAAATAAGCCATCATCCTGGCCAACAATGGCCACCACTAAAAATCCCACCACCTTCAATAGCTCCCATGATTATAGTTAGAAAAGCCAGCAAGGAAAGGACTTTCTTCCTCTATTCAATTTGCTCACCGGCTGTCTGAGTTACACTTAAGACTTTTCTGACAAACACACATCAGCTTCTGTTCCCACAAGAGCAGCTGAAGCTAAGCTGGGACTCTAAGTCTGCTTTACGCATCATTGACAGAACCAACCCTGTTCCAATTGCTGGATTCTTAGGAGCAGCAATGACCTAGAAATTGACTGGGGGTGGGGTGGGGTGAATAGGATGAAAAGGAAGGAAAGTAACAAACCAATGCATATATAGATAGCCCTATATCCTAATATGAAGGGAAAGGGGAAAAAGGGAGAAGAGGATGATTAAGAAATTTAGCCCTTTTTAATCTGCAAATGTGATCTTGGCTGGAAGTCACAGTGAATACATGGAAGTCCCACTGTGAGTCAAGCCATGTTCCTGACTTGAGCCCCACAGTTAGGAAGAAGGCGCCAAGCCTCAAACACAACGTGGTAGGGAGGCTGCTCCTTTTTGGGCAGAATCCTACTGTGGACACAGAACAGACAGCAGCTGCCCACAGTGTGGAAACAAACTGTAAAGCAGTCATGTCTCTTAAGGCTGCAGCAACCAATAAAATGTAATTTAAATCAAGGCTCGCATCTGTTCCCAATCCCATTCAGTCTCTGCTTTCCATCAGCCCTCGGACAATCTTTGCAATTATTCCTGTTAACTCTTGGGACCCTGGGTAGGACCCAACCTTTAAGGCATGAAACTAAGTATTCACCACTGCCATTTACCATCAGACAGAAGGTTTCAACACAGGTGTGGGGGGGGAAGGGAATGGTATTTAAACCCCTATCTACAGAATAACTTCTTCGACACACACACCACGGATGTAGTCTTCATTTTACAACACACACCATGGATATAGTGTTCATTTCACAGAGGGCTCTCTCTCTCTTTCTGTGCTCTTCTTCCATCCCATACCACCTGCTGTAACATGGATCACTTTGCAGGGATAGAGCAGGCAGGATGAATGAAACAGAGGCCAACAGATCATTTGTACCTATATCAAGTTCCCAGCCTAGATTCTCTGTGTCAAGAGGAAGGTAGGAGACACAGCAGGAGTACCTAGGTATCACCCAAGTAGGAATAAAAACACCTTAGACACAATCCTGTCTTCAATCTATGGATAACACACACACACACACACACACACACACACTCTATTTAAAATATTTGTTTGAGATACCTGAACATTTTAAAATCTCAGTTGAACAAAACAAACTTCTAGGACACATTTACGCCCTCAAAAGCCCACCTTTCAGCCCAATCAGTGTTATAATGGCGCCCTCTGGTGTACAGACCATGCTTTGGCTTAGAGGTTCCAGTAAGTTTAATGGAAACCAAAGCTGAAAGAAGGAAGAATATTAAGTAACCATATGGAAGGGTTTCAGATGAGAGGGAAAAGAGATGGTTTAAAGAGAAATATAAATTCATATTAAGCCAGCATAAAGCAAGTAGCTTCTGGTGCCTGAGGGAGAGATTAAATAGCAGGATTTTCAGCTATACATCCAGGATACATGCAGGAAACCTGAACATTAGACACATGAACTGCTTAAAAACAAACACACAGCTAATATTATACAACTCAGTAAATATATCCCTATATATAGAGTTAAAACATTCTTTCTCTCAACCTTGGAACTGCCCAACAATATCAATGGGTCTTAAATGGCACAAAGAATGACAGTCTCCATAATGTGAACAAAGTAGCACTCCAAAAAGAACTGGAGGCTTTGACCAATGCTTCCTCCAATTCAACATGAACATGTGGGTTTTCTGGATGGACTTCTGTTGTTCTGGTCATACCAGTCCTCACCGTTCTCATACAGACCCTCAGCTGCTCCATGAATCTTCACTTTGTAAGAAAAATGGGATAAAGATACACAAGAGCTGAAGACAGCACCTCTCTTAGCCATATGCTTTTTTTTTTAACCTTGATGAGTAAAAATAAAGGGACCTAAAGATGTTTTGGTTCTATAGTCATGACTGCACATCTCTTATGAATATAAATTCATCTAGTTCAAGTAAAAACAGGTCATATTTCTGGGACTCGAGGATAGAATGCATAAGGTAGCATATTGCCACAGTTGTGAGGTCCTGTAAAATGCAAGGGGGACACTCAAGGTAAAAGACCAGAAGGATTTAAGGCAACCCATTAGCTAAAATGGTCCCAATTAAGACTCTGTCCTTCAGTGCATGTTCCATCTCCTTCTTCAATCTTCAGAGACACCTGAAAAAAAAAAAGACTCCTTGCTATAAAACTCAAAAAAGCAAAGACAGTAACAAGGGAGTAGCACATGTTATTACATGAAGTAAGATTTCTGCCATGTTAAGCTTCTCTCTAAGGAGGAAGGCAGACCATTATCCCTGCTTCTCTTGATTTCCCATAGCGGCTTCTGCTTAGATGTTTCCCCCTCCCACAATTCCCAATCATCACAGATGAGATCTAACATTTAAACAAACCCATACACAACTGTGGGCAACTGTAAAACTGTAACTTGAGCAAAATATAAGGTAGTCATAAAACCTTCTTAGATAGGGCAACTAAGACCATCAGCAACAAAAACATAGCTCTCCAGGGAGAAATGGTACCTTTGTGAGTCGGGTTTCCTTGCTTTTCTTCAATCCTAAAATGCCCCTGGTCTCCAAAAGCCCTGAAAGTGACAAACACTCTGACTGGTCCACTGCTGCCACCTGCTGTTTTCGACAGACTTTGCTATAGGCGTCATATAACTGGAAGGAAACAAGTAAAAAAATTCTGATTAAAAATCATGTCTCAATAACTCAAGAGTTTTAAGGTGTCTGTGTAAAGTTATGTAGAGAAAGCACTGCACACAATAGGATAAAAAAGATGGACAACTCGAGTCCCCCAGTGTACTCAGGTACTGGAGAAAAGGATTAGAAATGGAGAAAAGATCATTGAGCAACTCTCTTCCTTAAATCTCCAGGGGAAATAAGATCAGCTAGCTTCAAGCTACAGTCAGAACACAGTTGTCTGCATAAAAATCAACAGATCACTTATCCAAACACTTTTGTGAGCAATAACCCACTTTAGATTTACATCTAATTAGGGAGAACACATCACATTCAAAATAGTAGTTCTGTCTTACTATTTTCCCAAAAGCCTAGGTAATCCCCATCCCAACCCCCCCAACTTTATTTCATCCTTTCTAATTTACCTTCCCTAGGGTGACTTCTTTGGCTTTCAGCTGTCTGGTCAAGAGCAACAGAGAACAAACCAGAATCTTCTGTTGAAGAGGAAAGGAATCCTGAGCTCCTTCTTGGCTCAAGGCCATTCTGCTGCCATAAGTGTCTGAGATGACCTGGGATATATGAATAAGACCAACCCGTTTGGGAACTGAAGAATGGCATGATGACTTAGCAGATTTACCTGAAAAATGAATTAAATAATTCAGTTAAAATTCAACAAACATTTAAGAGCCATAAACTGGGGATACATACAAAGACAAATACACTCACACACAAAGTTCCTGCTCTCAAGGAGTTCACAAGGGTGGAGCGGGAATAAATTATTTATGATATATACAGCTAAGTAAATACAAAGGAATCTCAGGAGAGAGGGGGACCAGGAAAGAGAAAGCATTCTAGACATAGGGGACCAGCAGTGCAAACGGATAGCATGTTAACTTCAGAAGAACAACTAGTAGGCTAATTTGGCTAGAATGTAAAGAGAATGATATGAAAGGTAGGTTAGGAGCTAGATTGCAGAGAGTGTTAAATGCCAGACTGAGGAATTTGTACTATATACTAGAGATAACAGAGCTTTATTAAAATTGTTTTGAGTAGGAAAATTATAGTCAGGAATATTAATTTAACAGCTATAAGGAGTATAAAGAGAAGGGAAGAGACTAGAAGAAAGGAGATCAATTAAGAAGCTATTAAATAATCTAGGTAAGAGGTGATAACGGTATGAACTGCCTTTGTAGGAATAGTGGCCTTGTGAATAGAGAGGAAACAAATTCAAGGAATGTGGAGGCAGAACTGACAACACCTGGCAACTAACTAAATATGAGGCATGAAGAGAGAAGGAGAAGTCAAAGATGACTAAGAATGTGAATCTAGAAAATTGGAAGGATGATGTTATCCTCAACAGGAAGAAGAAAGTTCAAAGGAGAGATGGGCTTTGGGGAAAAATGTAATAATGTCTATTTTGGACTAGTTAAATTTGAACTGCTAATGGCAAATCCAGGTGGAGATATCCAGTTGGCAATATGAGACTTGAGTTCAGGATAATGATTAGGGTTGGATATGTAGATTTGCAAATTATCTGCATAGAGATTAAATTGATAAAATGAGATGAAAAGAGGAAGGACAAGATGGATGATGATCCAGAAATGGAAACTGGAGGAGTGATTAAATAGGTAGATAGGGAGGATGAAAAATAAGAATGAAAGATGATATAGAAGTATTTTGAGGTATGGAGTAGGGCACCTAAGACTGATGGTCTCTATTCTCTCAGTGAAGTAGGAGGCAAGATTCTTAAATGAAAAGGATAGGAGGGATGGCATAGGAGGTCTAAGGAAAGAGAAGGTTTGGAAAAGCCACCATGAAAAAGGTCAAGAATGTTAAGGGAAATAATGAAAAGAAGTAGGTAGGGAGAGAATCTAACAGTATCACATGTAAGATTATAAAAAAGCCACTATGGAGTTTATGAAGGAAAATCAATCAGGGAATTGCTGTTTAGCAATAAAGGCCCCAAATTAGCAAACAAATTTGTAGAGGACCTTGTTATCATTTTTGCAGTATTTTCCCCAGAAGTATGCTGATATAAGTGAAGACAGATGGGAGTGACCGCAGGGTTGGGGTATGACTGGAGATAGAGCAAGAGAGCAAGGGATTCAAAGGTAGAAGACAGTATATAATTGAAATAGTCCACTAGAGTCAAGAATGTGAAAAGAGGAAAATCAGACCATAGCAGGCAGAGCTGACAGACTAGAACAGCGAAAGATGGAGGGAGTAGAAAAGACAGTGCTAAGTACACTTTCTTAAGTGCTAAGAAAAGACAATGCTACCTCTTAATGGGTAGGAGGTTAAAGAGGGATTTTACACCTGGATCATGTAAATAGCAGTTATGGTGTGATCAAAGGTATGGCTGAAGTACAGCAAAGACAAGGGTCATAAGAATTGAGGAGGTAGACTGAGAGGCCAGGGTACCTGAAACAACATTGATTTGTTTATACTGAAATCTACTAGTATGAAGGCAGAGATTGGATTATAAGATAGATACTGAACACTTTGAGAAAAGAGGGAGAATGACTTGGAGGTCAGTACTACAATATGGATCTGGACTATATAACACAGACAGATGGAGTATGCCTCAAAGAAACTGCTGAGTGCTGGTGGCAGAGGGGGGAAATTTTTTTAAAAAGATTTAGCAAACGGTAGTAAGTTACAACCATTGTGATCCAAGTATATGTAGACAGTGACAGGGCAGAGGTTTCACTATCCAGCTTAAGATCATGAGATTAGAGACTAAATATTCTGAGTAGTAAGAGACTAGAAAATGCCCTATAACAGAAGCCACCCTTCTGGGCACAATAGTGTGAAACCTAGTCCTGTGGAAATCATTTAATGCCAGAAGAACAAAGCTAGTTGAAGAGGGGGAAAGATTGGTCAGAGAACTGGCTAATAAAGGAATGAAAGAATTGCTCGGGGTGAAAAGAATTCCGGAGGCAAAGGCAGTCACTCTATTTGAGAGTAAGGTATGACAATGATGTGAGTTCTTGCTCAGATAAGTATCCCCAGTACTTGGAAATGATTAAGTAGGTGAATGTGAATGGCAAAGCTAATCAATCCTATGTCATTCCCATTTTCCATCTTGATTTACTTGCCCAAGTGACCTACAAAGAAGAAATAACTGTGAAAACATCATTGTCTGTCCTGGTAGATGTCACCATCTTAAAATTGGAGTTTGTATAGAGAAATTATCAAGGAACCGCTTCAGAACCATGGCAATTGAAGGGGATCTAACCCTCCTGTATTTAGCCATGAGACAGAAGAAGGATCTGTTCTGTAAAAGGCTTAACCTGAAATCATTCAGCTAAGAGGATCCTCCACTTTTACCTGAAGTTGCTTCTAATTTGTTGTAGCAATTGGGATAGTAAAGACCTAACTCAGGGCAGGTGATAGAAATAAACAAAGATCACATTCTAAATGGAACTATCAGAAATAAAATTTCACAGTTCCTAAAGGCCAAGAAAAAGGAACCAGAAGACCAAGCCTACCCCCTACCAGTGGTTTATTGTGCAACTTTTGGAACTACCTTTACTCACAGATTTATCTACAAAACTAAAATTTTCCCAAAGCTAATAGGGAGCTAGAAAGGTAATGTAAATTAATGTTTAGAAAGTATATATGACCAAGTACATACTAAAAAAAAAAAGGAAGACAATAAGTAATTACAAGGGAACCAATTAATAGTTTGGGCCAGGGGATCAATAATTACTTTTGCTCTAAGCATCATTAGTATCCTGGAGGTCACTGTCAAATTCAAAGAGATAATCAGTGAAGAAAAAAGTAGAAAATTTGAAAATAGAAAAAATGCATAAAATAACTGTACATGTAGTAGGATATTATAGAATGCTAAGCCCCTCAGGTAACACTTTGTGCCATTAGTGTTACCCTTTGCTGCCTACAGCTAACCCAGGAACTAAAAGGTTAACAGAAACATTTCAGAAATATTATCTATTCCCCCTTATTCCCAAGCAAAACTCATTGTTCTAAAACAGACGAGTACAAAAGGAAAACAGAAGAGAAAGACACAAGTAGCTCAAATTGTTCTACTGACACAGATTAACAACTTCAGAAACAAGGAACTATGGTGTATAGCCACTCCTTACTTCACCTCTGTCTCAAAAAGAAGGGAATGAAGGAGTCAGAAAGGCATTCAGTATTATGATTTTAGTAATGATTTACTCTCGCCCTCATTTTGCTGGGCTAATAGACTCACTGCACTCTCACCCTACTGGACTTGTTTAGCTTAAGTTATCCTAAGCTGAACTTACTTCCCTTTCTAACTTCCTACCCCCCTCTACAATTACTGGCCTTTGCTCTCACACCTACATTATGATACAAAATGTGCTCAGTTCAAGCCCACAGAAAAGCATAGCTGACCATATTGTCTGCCGTTTTCATTTCCAGAGTTTTGGAAGGCTATCCTAAGCATTTATGTAATACCCTGAGGGACTTATTTCCAGTAATGCATGAAATATAGTACTGGCAGGCAAGACGGCAATCAGGGTAGGCGAAATTGACCAAAACACACACACACACACACACACACACACACACACACACACACACCTCTTTCCTCAGAAAAGTCAAGCTTTCATTTAAGAAGGAAGACAGCAGGGAAGATAAGCCACTTACATTCAGACAGTGGTTTGAGGACAGTCTGGTTTCTGACATCTGACTCTACAATTTCAACAGCTCTCCTGTAGGACAGATATTTCTAAAATTATTTTTTGCTGAGCCAAACCAAACACCACTAAATGTTTGCAAGTAAACTCTTTAACTGAAAACAATGGGTTTTATGCAATTTTTAAAAGACAAAAATTGGGTTATGTCTCAACTAACAGAGTCTTCACTAACCTGAGATAACTCAAGTATCAGGGAATGAGATACTTCAACAATATGCAGGTGCTTTAAATGGCTGCCAACTAGGTCATCATACATGAGGACAATGAGCCAACACTAATGTTTTAAAAGTAAGTCAAAATGGGGAGAAAAGCAACACTTCTTTCCTGCCCAAACCCTACAACCTTTACCCAGGAAGTTTGCTGACTAGGGGAGATGTTCAAATTCAGGATCATGCAATTTAGTACTATGAAGGACTTACTATTCCAATGCTCTCTCCAAAGTACTTTGACCACAGGAAGCCATAAGGCAGACCTGTATCTCCTGCATGGCAGTGGGGGGAGCCTGGACCAGTGGGCCAGCTCAGCAAGTATCATTTTAATGGACCCAGTGTCCCTACTGGGAAGGAAGTAATTTCATCAACCAGCACAGAGGATTTCCCCGGCAGGAGGGAATGGGGGATGGGAAGAGAGAGAAAGTGGTCTAGGGCACAAGTGTGGGAGAGTACAAACTGGAGGAAAAGGGTATTCACAAAATCAAGTGAAGAAAAAAAAAGTCTAAAGGCAAAGATGGTTCAGGTCCATAAATAAACCTGCTTGAGACCAGCTAATGGAAAAGTAAACTGGAGTCTTTTTTAATACAAATGTAATTAACCAATCTATAATCACCACAGGGAGTGCCAGCAACATCTCATTTGTTTCTCCCTCTGTAGGTAATGGACTGATAATGTTTCAGACATTAACACGGTGGAAATGCAGAGCTCCCCACTGAGAAACAAGTCCTCCTTTCCGAGCATAAAAAGCAGCAGAATGGAGCCTCTTAAGTCACATTCACTTGAGTTACAAGAGACAATTAACAGCATTTTTTTCTTTTTTTAATAAAAGCAGCCAACAGTGCTATAAATTACCTGCAAACATCTAGTGCTTTGCGAGCATCTCCTGACACAGCAGAGATTTTTCTAGCACAGAACTGAATTGCAGCACTGTCCAGAATCTGATTACTGGATACCTTTAAATAAGACAAAGCACAAATCAGGGTCATCTCTCAATTCTAGGCCCCAGTTACACAAATATTTTCATATGAAATTTCAAACTGACAGGTCTCCCAGTGCATTCTATGAAATACTTTCGTGTCAAAAGGAATTAAGATTTCCAGAGACCCAATGTTCACACATTAAACTGTTTTTCAGAAAGATAGAATATAAAGTTTCATGACATGAAAACAACAAAATAAAACATCCTTCTAAATGAGAAAGTTTCCCACAGATTCAATTTCTCAAGGTATAACTATGAGGGAAAAAATCTGATTGAATCCAGTTTCCCCTCTCATTCATGAACTTTCTTCTCACTATAACACAGCATAATTTTAGAAAGTCAAGACTACAAATAACTTTAAAAAGAACTGTTTTATTAGAAGCCCCTAGTTTTTGTTACCCCCAAAGTAGCCTCAATTTTGTCAAGAAAATAATTTCCTACAGACTGCTGCTCACCTGCTTAAGTCGGTCCTGTAAGATGGTAGCTATCTGCTCTTTTGTGTAAGGTGGGAAGTTCACCAGCTGTGGCCTGAACTTTGCTTTAGCATGAAGTCTAGGTAGAATTCTATTGGTAAGATCCAGGGAATTAGCAATACCTGCAGAGGTTATTAATTCACCAGTTAGCCAAGTAGTCACTTTCAGACCTCTGGAAAGTCTCAAGTTTTTATGCTAAATGCCATATAACTCTTCCAACCAAGTAACCGAAGTGACAATTTCCCACTTGGTCCCTTCTACTCATTGGGGAAGATAGAAATTTCATCACCCTAAAGGAAATTATTCACAGGCTAAGAGAAAAGAGTAATGATGCTCAATTATTTGCACTACTGGAAAAAATCAAGTAATCTCCCAAATTTATATGTTATCTCTGGAATACAATGTTACACATCACTTTTATGTAGATTTAGCTCTGGTTATGGCTAGCTTAAGCTAGTATCAGTACTAACTTGCTTTCCCAGAGCACCCTCTGGCAAGCAGAAGCAAGAAACCTAAAAACAAACTAGAAGACAGAGGGCTCTATCTCTTGGAATACTTACCTTCCTCTAAGGTTCAAATCAGATGCTATATCTACTCTGTAAAGCTTGCCTTGATTCTTTCAGTTGTATGAGTTCTCTTTCTCTTCTACCTTGTATTTGCTTTTCTAGATATACACTGTACCTTTCCCACATGTCTAGAGAATGTAAGCTATTTGAGGTAAGGGACTCCCTTGCTTTTTATCTTTATCCTCCACTACCCAGCAGTGTTAGTAGTGTTTTCTGATCATATATAAGAAATTAATGGCAGAGAACTCAAAAATTCTTAAATTTAAAGGTAAAAAACAATGAGGACTAACCAATCAACACAAGATGGGAACTCCTCAGCCAAGGCCACTCAAACAATGTGTATAACACATCCTGTCCTTTGCTGTCCAACTGATCCATTTCATCCAACACCAATAAGCTACATATACAAAAAAGAAATCAGAAGCTATGTTAATCTTTCAACAGAAACTCTGAATTGAGTCAAATATCAAGCTTTCTACATACGTTTAAGGCTAAGCTGTTTGAAGGAGCTCAAGATGCCCTTCAGTCAAGTCACTGATATAAAATTTGTTTTCCTCCCAAGAATCAGCAAAATCTAAATGCTCTAAAGTAATTTTAATTTTTTTTTAAAGGCAATCGGGATTAAGTGACCTGCACAGGGTCACACAGCTAGTAAGTGTCTGAGACTGGATGTGAACTCAGGTCCTCCTGACTTCAGGACTGGTGCTCTATCTGCCCCACCTAACTGCCCCAATTTTAATGATTCTTGAAATTATTTTCCTACTTATACAAGTAGACATTGCATTTTATTTTTCTCTTTCTTCCCCTTTGAGCTCCTACCCCCAAATTATTTCTTGTTCAATGCATGAATGAATCACTTATGAGGAAAAGGGATTTATAATAATAAAACTGTCATTACCATTCACTCAGACTTGGATACCACTCAAAGTTGAGCAACAGTAACCAGAATACCCATCATGAAACACTAGGATGTGGGTATACAGAGAGATTTCCAAAATTATACAGAGCAATCCAAACCCAGGTGATACTTACAACATGGGGGCCTTCTCTGAAGTCATATGTTTTTCCAATTTCCTCATCAAGTCCTTCCCAGATGACTTGGACACGCTTTCCTGACAGATCTCCTGAGCAATAGCTGGGAATACAGCCTGGGAGGTCCTCAAGGACATACAATTTAGCATTACAATTTTAGTATCTTCCAGTTCTTCCTAGAAGTGTGCAAACACATGAGAACATCTTTAACATTAACTAGAGAATCAACAGAACCAAAAAATGTCTGAGGTTTCAACAGCACTCAAGATAAAGAGAAATCTGATGCCCTTCATTCATTTCTCCTCCCTTAATCTTCCAAGTTCAAATGAGGTGATCACAAGGTATTGATGACTTTGGCATGAAGGTCATAGCTTATGACCTACTAAATACCTTGAGGTCCTGCAGAATCCGGTTTAAGCATGCTGTTTTGCCAGTTCCAGGAGCACCAGAAACATAAAGGCTCCCAGCTTTTTTTCCACAGATGTGTTCTTTTAGGAAATGCCTGATGACATCCATCTCCTTCTCCCTGGCAGGCAGCCTATCTGGGACAGCTGTATTCAGGACCAGCTTTGCTTGTTGGTAACAAGTGCCTATTCCAGACGTAAAGGGACAATTAGACACAACAGAAGGTGACTGAGAAGACCCACTGGGTTTTATTCAGAGAAAGTCATCAGCTTTGTTTATGAGGCTGCACTAACAGCTGTCATATAGACACTAACCTTCTTGCTTGAATAGCCCAGCACACACAGATTCTTTCTCTAGTGGACAACTGTGCTCAGAATTCCTTGATCTCCTTTGACCTTTTTGAACTGGAGAGAGTTCCTTGTCCTGATGGACTATTGCTAGGTCTCTTTTGCTAGGAGAACTAATTTTCAACTGATTGTCAAATACTAGTCCACGCTTCTTAGAGGCAAGTGGAAGAACAGGACCATTCTCTTTCTTACTCCGTTTTGAAGGTGAACAAGTAAGCATATGGAGAGTGTTGCATAGGTTGTCATCTCCTGAAACATATATTAAGGCCAAAATTCATTATGAAATCCAACAGTTATAAAGCCCTACTTATATGAAAGATTCTATGAATAGAAAGAATAAAAAGAAAAATCAAAGAAAGAGGAAAAGGACCTATATATAAAACAATATAGCAGTTTTTTTTTATAGTGGCAAAGAAATGGAAACTGAGGGGGTGCACGGCCATCAATTTGCTGAACAAATTACGATATGTGAATGTAATGGAATACTATTGTGCTGTAAGAAATGATGAAAAGGACCATTTCAGAGAAACCTGGAAAGGATTTGTATCAACTGATAAAAAGTGAGGCGAGTAGAACCAGAACGTATTAAATAGCAACAATACTGTAAAGACAAACAACTTGGAATTTGGAATTCAGATCAACACAATGATCAACCACAGCTCCTGGGAACTCATGATGAAACATGTTGGCCACTTCTCAAAAGGAAAGTGATAGACTCAGATTGTAGATTAAGAAAAAAATTTTTTTCTAACATGGCCAGTGCAGGATTTTTTTTTGCTTGACTATACATGTTTATAACTAGGGTTCTATTCTTCCTGTTTTCTCAATTGGAAGGGGTGGGGTAGAATATAAAGAGAATGGGAGGGAGAGAAGGTAGATCTGCATTTGAAAATAAAATAAAATAAAATGTAATTTCAAAGAAAGAACAAAAACAGTACCAGAAGAGCCTAGATTCCACTAGGGAAGAGAACATGTATGCAGAGAAGTAAATACAAAATAATCTCATAAGGAATAAAGGACTAATAATTAGGGGAATCAGGCTTTGTATAAAAAGTGGTACCCGAAGTATGATAAGTTAAGAAAGCTAAAGATTCTAAAAGATGGAAGGAAGTAGTGGGAGATGGCTTTGCAAAGGCATAGAGATAAGAGGTAGAATGCTGAGTTTTGAAAAACTAGTTGGCCAGTTTAATTGGAATGCATGATGAAGAGTATCACATGATAACTCAGGGAAGGTAGGATGGAGCTAGATTGTGTTGGATTTCAAATGCTAGGCTGAGAGATCTGTATTTTATTCTAGAGGCAATGGGGAATTACTTGCAGTAAATGGTAAATGGAACCCCCAAAGCAATTTAAGAGATGATCTGCCATCTGGCCCAACCCAGCAAGAGATGAATTTTCCACTTCATTGTCAGGACTTGCTAAAAAGCAGACTCAAAATCCATGGGAAAAAATGAGAAATCACTACTTGGGAAACAGATTGCCTACCTCACCTTAAAGCTAAAAATGTTTTTTAAGCAAAGCAGCTACCTGTCACAGCCTGCCCCACCAGATGGCGCCAGTTCATCATCCTATTTTAACACCCTATAGTAATCACCAGAAGGGGTTATACAAAGTATAAAAGTTGGTGAGGAGGGCTATTCTCAAAGAAGTGTGTTCTTTAGAAAGAATCTACTTGTTCCTTTTGGTAAGGCAGTTGGGGTTAAGTGACTTGCCCAGGGTCACACAGCTAGTAAGTGTCATGTGTCTGAGGCTGCATTTGAACTCAGGTCCGGTGCTCTATCTATTGCGACACCTAGCTGCCCCTACTTGTTCTTTTCTGTAATAATAATGGCTCAAAAATAACCCCAAGAGCTAGTGAGATACTGGGGAACCAGAAGTCGGAGCTCAAGTATAACACCTGGTTTAAAATTTTATACAGTAACAATATGATAAAAAGCAAACAACTTTGAAAGACTTAAGAACTCTCATCATCTAAACAATCCACCATTATTCCAGAGAACTCATGATGAAACATGCTACCCACTTCCAGAAAGAGGTGATTGGCTCATGATTGCAAATAGACATACACTTTCAGACACGGCCAATGCATGCTTCACTACACCCATGTATTACAAAAACTGTGTTTTTCTTCCTTTTTCAACTGAAAGCTGGACAGGGAAAAAGTAAACTACAGTTAACTGAAAAAAAATTTTAATTAAAAAACCCATCTAGTTCAGAATATGACCTCTGAAATCCCTTCTGGAAGCTTTGCAGACACTTAGGGGAAACCAGCTGAATTCTGGAAACTGCTGCAAACACCTGGAAGTTAAAAAAAAATCGAAAAGTCACACAGAAAACTTTAAGTCAAAGAGCTGCATCTATAGTTACCTAGTCGTTTCCTGGGACTGAGAGGAAGGATTTTAACGTTGGGGGTGGGCAGCATATTCGACGATCTGACACGTCCACGGTTTTTTCCTTTGCCTAATGTCTTAGACACTTTCTTCTTGGGAAAGTTAATGGTGGCCTGAGATCGGGATCTGGTGTTGGGCATGATGGCAATACACTCAGAGCTAGAAAGTAAACAGACTGAACAACTCAACAAACATTTAAAATGTGCCTGGGTGTAAGACAATGTGGATGCAAAGACAAAAGGGGAAAAAAGCAGTCTCTGCTCTCGAGGAGCTTCTCTTCACTGGGGCGGTTGGTTCTAAAGTGCAGTCCTCAGGGGAGCCCTGGGGGTCACTCGGTCAGAACTACTCTCGTAAAAACACTAAGACTTTTAATTTCTAATAGGGCGAACATCCATAGCCATAAACCATATAAATAAAAGATATTTGCGTGTAAAAGGTTCCTAAGACCAAAAAGTTGGAGAACCGCTGTACTAGGAGATAATTTAAACTGGTAAGTAAACACATGATAACTTGAAAACTAATAATAATAGCTAGCACTTCTATAGTGCTTTAAGGGCACTACAGGGCTTTACGAATAATATGGGTCAGTCAGGGGCTCTCTCCCTCAAACACACAGACACCCCTCCCCCCTCAGGCTTAAGGGCTCTTATTCACCCCTACTCCTAGGTGCGCCCAGCCCTCGGCCTTCGCCCGAGCCCCTTCCCCTCCAGAACTATCCTCCTCCCCGCCGCTCCCAGGCCTGGACAGCGAGCGATCCTAGTTGGGGTCGCCCTCCGCCCGCTCCAGCTCCTCGCCCTGCTAGCCTCCTCACCTCACCTCACGTAAGCTCAGCTCGGCTCGGCTCGGCTCAGCTACTCCCGCCGCACAGTTGGGAAGCTCTTTCCGTAGCTCGCGCCAATTCCTCTCAGCTGAAAGCTTCCCGTTTCCCGCCAGAGCCGGACCGCACCGCTGATTGGTTGGCGTCCTGAAAGGGAGGGGGAAAGGCTGCCTCGCTCCGAGGCTCACGTCCCCTGCTCCACGCCTACCGCCGTTGAACCAATAGAAAAGCCACAAGTCTCAGGCGCGCCGCGAGGTCTCATCCCCTGGGCGGGAATCACATCAACATCCGGTTTCTAAGCGGAAAGTCATGGACGTATCGGGGTCGGCAGGCTACGGCAACCGCGAAGAGGTCGCAAAGGTCTCTGGGAATTGTAGTCTACGACAAACACACAAGCCATCTTCGAACCCTAAAGCCCAACTCAAGATTCAGTTTCTTGAGAATTAAAGGATTTTCCCTTTAAGGAAATAGTGCCCAAAAATGTGGGCATCAGCTACCTTTTCTCACAGCATGTACGGCATTATGAGAGAATGCGTACTTAAGATTTCAGTTTATCTTTTCTACTGCAAAACCGCAACTTCTTCCTCCTGGAAACCACAGGTAACCTCACAAGGTCTCTCGGCCTAAGGGAAGGAATATAGGGATATGGTTGGGTTTTCAGAAATGGCCCCAGGATGCCCTTGAGCCTCTGAGATAGGAGATAAGTCAAGTCCCTTCCCCTTCTAAGGAAAATTCCATTTTCCTTACTAACAAAAACCAGGAGAGAGACTTCAACACCAATCTATGCCAGGCATCAGGGTGGTTTGGCAACTATTTATTAATTAGTCTTTTCTCCATTAAGTGTTAAGCTGTAATGGGTACAAATGAGTCTGGCCGAAATCCACAGACCAACTCTGGAACACCCAAGGAGCATCCCATACAGACCTTGGGTTCCAATAAGACCAAAACCCATGGGCAGGTGTTGTTAATGATTAACTGAAGCTTATTTTTTCAGCTTGATCTTTCAACCCTTGATCTCTACTGAGAGTGTTGAAAACTGTCACAAGGAGTCCAGATTGAAACCTTCAACTGATTGTGGCTAGTACAGGGAGGATAAAGAGAATAAAATACAGATCTTAATAAGATGCCCCTCTTAAAGGAGTGGAGAACTAAGGGTTTACTTATACACCCTCCCAAGGAGAGGTCTGCATTTAGTTTTAAGTAGATGGGCATGTGCTTTTCATTAGGGCAATGCCACTTTGAACTCCTGAAAACTCTTCCTTGAGTAATATGATAATGGGTGATATGGGTGATAAGCCAGCTTTCCCAATGAGTTGTTGGGCATGTGAATATACCTCAACTAGGAGCCAATCAAGTGTAAATGAAAGCCTCTGCAGATGTCTGAAGGATCACCACAGAAATATGCCTGATTCTTAAAACATCCCAATGCTCCTACCTATGGCCCTCAAACCTAGGCCAGGCACAGATGTGAGATCATCCAAATTGATCCAGTGATCTACTAAAGAAAAGGTATTCCTCCCCAACTTTCCTCTGGGAGGGCCTGACATGAAATAGGGTGTTCAGGTCTCCAAATTTCTACCTGAAAGTTACTGAGAAACCAACTCCTTCCCTACAGCCAGGCTACTGGAGAAAAGAAGTTTGTTCAGGAAAGGCATCCCATAGCTGGATGGAAAAAAAAAAGCCACCTTTGGCTCCAAACAGCTGTGCCTCAGTCATAATTACAGTAAGCAGACCTGTGGCCCATCTCCTAATGCCTACTGCATGGTGTCACAAGAGAATAAAATCATACAAGAAGGACCTGTCTGCATTCTTTTGTACACACCAAGGTGGGGAGGCACTATTTCCTCTGGACAAAGGAACTCCTAAGGTTACCAAGTTGAGGATTATTTCAGCAAGCCTTTTTTGGTGGACTGTATGAAGTCGACTAGGGAGCACCAGAGCCGGGAAATACGCTACAAGTTACTTATTCATGTGAATGACAGCTTTATGGAAGCAGAGATTCTGCCCCATAAACCCAATAGGGGCCTTCTCCTCAGCTCCTCTCCCTCCACTCATAACTTAATAGATTTTTATGTGTGATTCACATACACACCATGACTGAAATTCATCCTTCAAACCTCTGCTTTTGTTTAGAAAACATACTTTGGCACAGAATTCTTAATTTTCATACCTAAGTGAAAGTTCAGGTGAGTAATCCTATATTTGAACTAGAAGCTACCTGAGAACAACCAACACCCACATACACTTGCATATTCAAAAAGATTACATGCTTTTCCCTCACTTACTTTCTTTCATTCCGTAAGTATTCTACCACCAAACACATCCTGGAGAACCAAGAAGGGCATTAAGAGCTCATACCTGTATCTTAGGGGACAAATCTAAAAGAACTAAAAAGTCCCTGAAATCTGAAAAAGGCAAAATCAGGTGCAGGCAACAAATTAGCGAAGACCTCAAATATCAAGGCTACACTCGCTGCCACAGCATACAACTTTAGAATATGACTTAGCCAAAAGGAGGAAGGAAAGGAGTAATAATACATACCTCATATCAATATTTGAGCTTTACTGTTATGACACACTTTCCATACATAACGTCTTTTGACTCTCACAACCTTGTGAGTTAGGTAACTTACATCATCATATCCCATTTCACCCATGACGTTAAAATGATTTGGTCTGCCTAGGCCTAAGGACTAGTCAGAAGTGGGGAACCTTCAGCCTTGAGGCCCTCTAGGTGCTCAAGTGCAGCCCTTTGACTGAATCCAAACTTCACAGAACAAACCCTCTTAATGAAAGGATTTGTTATGAAATAGATAATTTTGATTAAATTAAAAAGGTTTTGCACAAAGCCAATGCAACCAATATTAGAAGGGAAGCAGAAAGCTGGGAAACAGTTTTTACAGGCAGTGTCTCTGATAAAGGCCCCATTTCTAAAATATATAGAGAACTGAACCAAATTTATAAGAATACAAGTCACTCTCCAGTTGATAAATGGTCAAAGGATATGAACAGGCAGTTTTCAGATAAAGAAATTAAAACTATCTACAATCATATGAAAAATGATTTAAATCACTACTGATTAGAGAAATGCAAATCAAAATAACTCTGAGGTACCATATCACACCTATCAGATTAGCTAACATGACCAAACAGGAAAATGATCAATGCTGGAGATGACTGGGAAAACTGGAACACTAATGCATTGTTGGTGGAGTTGTGAACTATCCGACCATTCTGGAAAGCAATTTTGAACTGTGCCCAAAGGTCTATAAAACTGGGCATACCCTTTCATCCAGCAATACCACTACTAGGTCTGTATCCCAAAGAGATCATAAAAAAGGGAAAAGGACCCACATGAACAAAAATATTTATAGCAGCTCTTTTTGTGGTGGCAAAGAATTGGAAATTGAGGGGATGCCCATCAGTTGGGGAATGGCTGAACAAGTTGTGGTATATGAATGTAATGGAATACTATTATTCCGTAAGAAATGATGAGCAGGTAGATTTCAGAAAAACCTGGAAAGAACTAGATGAACTGATGCTGAGTGAAATGAGAACCAGGAGAACATTGTACACAGTAACAGCAACATTGTGTGATGATTAACTTCAATAGACTCAGATCTTTCTCCTCAGCAATGCAAGGATCTAAAACAACTCTAAAAGACCCATGATGGAAAATGCTATCCACATTCAGAAAAAGAATTATGGAGTCTGCATGCAGATTGAAGTATACTATTTTCTCTTTCTCGTGGTTTTTCCCTTTTGTTCTGATTCTTCTTTCACAACATGACTAATGTGAAAATATATTTGTTTAATGTGATTGTAGGTGTACAGCCTATATCAGATTGCGTGCAGTCTTGGGGAGGGGGGAAGAGAAGAAGGGGAAAAATTTAGAACTCAAAATCTTATAGAAGTGAATGTTGAAAACTAAAAATAATTTTTAAAAAATGGAAAAAAATAAAAGGATTTATTCTGTAAAACTTGGACTCAGTCAAAGGCTGCACCAAGGACCTAGAAGGCCTATTTGTGGCCTTGAGGCCTCAGGCTCCTCACCCCTGGAGGTGACAGAACTGGGACTGGAGTCCAGGTCTTCTGATTCAAGACTAGTGTTCTTTTCAAATCAGCATACTGCCTTAAGGAAAAAGAAGAATGAGAAGACCCCTGGAGAATTGCAGGTGCCTCTGTCCAGCCTATGGGCAAAACATGAAATTCAAGAGGTTGTGAGGTCTTCCTCCCTGCCCTCCCCACCCCCATTCCATTGCCCTGGGGGTGGGACTCCAAACATAGCACACAGATTTTCGGTTTGATTTGGTTTGTAAAATGAGGTTTAATTAAATAGCTGCATGGCACCCAGAAGGGAGAAGTAAGTGTACCAAAGAATCCAACCTGAGACCAGACTGTACATCTTGGGGGGAGGGGGGGCCCAGCGGAATCAACACAACTAGGGAAAGAGAATTATGGATCAAAACATAACATCCATATATTCATACAATAAATTATTTTTAAAAATCCATCTACATGCAGACACTACACACACACACACACACACACACGCGCTCGAGCATACATGTGCACACACCCTCTCTCATCATTCTGGGTGTATTTATACAGTGTTGATTATTGTGACATCCATGCTTGTCACTCTAGGGGAGAAACAGAGGTAGGGAGAAAGAGAAGCTGGTCCTCTGCCACTGGTGGAGTGAGACTCACAAGGATTAGAGAAGAAGCCCTGACCAGGTCTACAAAGATGTGCAGAGGAAGAAAGAAACAGGACAAGGGAGATTTAAATTGCTTCAGTCCAAGAGGAATACAGAGCACAGATGGCTGACACAGGGTAAAGGCACAATGAATGTGGAGTTGAATGGATCCAAAAACTTCCTTCTACTAAACAGTTTTCAATTCTTTTTTTTGTTTTTGCACATTTTTGCTTTTGTTGTTTTAAAACAGATGAATTTCAAAGGCAATGTTGCAGTGGGCCAACTCTCCCACATTTCCAATTCCAAGGAATGATTGGCAGGGAGCCACCTTGACCTTAGAGCCAGGGGCTGGGATGTAACTGGGATAGAAAGACCAAGACTGGAATGTAAGGAATTTGGTTTGCCATTGATCCCAGGTTGGGTTTTCAGGACAGACAACTCAGCATAGTGCCATCAAAAATAAAAACAGATCCTTAGACGACCCCTATTTACCTCCCCTTAGACCCCTCAGGATAAGAGAACTATGGGGACACATTTCCCTCCCCCATTCCAAAATTCACTTAGTCTATGAGTTATTTCAAGTGATCAGGATAATTTAAAATATACCCCAGCCCTGAGTTACTCTGTAGCAATGCTTAAGTCTATTTACACATTTTCTTCTCACCTCTCCCTAGAGGTTCATTTGGGCTTCAAGTTAGGAGGCCAAAGACAGGTCCTCCCTGCCCCTTGCCAAATAAGGACGACGGCTGGGATGTGTTCCTAGGGAACTCTACAGCCACTCCAAAAGCCTAAGAGCCCTGGTTTCAGGAAAAGCAAAGATTTGAAGCTTGAGCAGCATTCCAACCCCCCAATACACAGAATCACACACAATGTCAAAGTGCTTTGATCTGGGTAGATTAGCAGAAGTAGAGGGGTACTGCTCTCATTTAGGCTTGAGGCTACCCATCTGCTTTACAGCCAGGGCAATAGGAAACAAATATTAAGTTTTTCCCATTAGGGAAAAAAAAACCCAACCAGGGGGCTTTTAACTCAGCTTTCTGATGAGCAGAGCTGGGCACCATCTCTTCCTTCAGAGAGGGGACATATAAGGGTTTGTTGACTGGGAGTAGTCTCAACATGAGACCCACCCAATCTTGAACTAAGGAGGTAACAACATTCCCACAAGCAGAGAAAAGAGGAGTTCAAAGGTGAGAAGTTTTAGTGCCCTTGCAGCCAGCCCACCTTAAACCTATATTACAAGTTTTTGTGTTTTTTTTTAACATACAAAATAGATCAGTTAACTATGAGTCACATTCCCATTACTCAAGAGTAGGCTCTTAATAAATTTGCTGAATGAATTACTGTTCTAGTTGTGTCATGATAATAAATCTAGTACCACCAGTGGGACAGAGTAGTGTATAAGGCAGATGTCCAAATACATAATAGATTATCAACACACTCTGAAGAAGAAAAATCCATTTGACTTGAGCTTAGCCAACCATTTTCAGGAGGCAAGCCAATGAAAGTACAATGGATGCCAATGTGACACAGTCTAAAATCCAAAGGAACAAGTAATGGAAAGAAAGGTGCCAACCCCAGAAGAAAAAGTAGGGTTTGGCTTTTGTGGTAACAAGCATTTCTCTTTCTGTTCTATGTTTGAATATTTTAAAGAAAAACACCATCATGGAACATTGTGTAGAAGTTGCCAATTTCCATTTCGACAATGATCTGAAGACTTCACAGTCAGGACTAAGTAAATGATCAGTATGGTTAAATATCAAGCTTTCCTACTTCCCTTCCCCAGTCTAGGGCTCCTTGCCTGGGAAGCCTTTCCATCTCCTCCCAATCCCATGTGCTGAGGGCATCTCTGGGGGATAACTGCTACCAGGTTTTAAAATAAGAAGAGTTAGAAAATGTTTCCCTACAATTGACCTAATCAAAACAACAGTACATGGAAAAATAATGAAGGTAAACCAGCACTGGGTTTGGTCTGGGGTATAACAAGGAGGTTCTGGTCACATACACATATGCAATTCAGCTCCATCTTCTCCCAAGGAGACCACTGTGGACCTGCACTGGTTCTTTAGCACGTGATCCAAGAGATTAGAAACGTGCTTCAATTGAGCCTACTTGGCCACCCAGGATCCTGGGTAAATGAGGCAGGGGGCCCCTGAGAACTCAATCCTCTTTTGGTCCCTCCGTTATAGAGGAATTGACTACAGCTAAGAAATCCTTAGCTTGAGCCCATTCTCCCATTTTAGTATCTGCTTTAAGCTTAACTGATTAGTAAACCCAAATGTAGCCCAGAACTTTAACCCTGTGTAAAAAAAAAAAAAGATACCCCAAGAAGAAAGCAGACCTTTTTCCTCTCCTGCTCTGTAACTGTGTGACCTATGAAGCAGATAACATCTCTGTATACTTCTTTCCTATTTTACTGAAGATGGCACTCTCCCCACAAAGACCAGAGGTGGTAATGGCTATGCCAAACTCCCTAAAGGCTTGAAGTTCATATATACCCATTTGGCTTCCCCAGGGGTGGGGGATCAGAGAAGGATTTGATGTGGAAACAAGAAGGATACTGTCTTCACCCTGCTCTAATTGATGAATTCATCACAAGGCACCTCTCTCCAAAGAGAGAACAGGAGACAGAAGCTATTTCCTCACACAGCTAGCAGGGTTCACTAGATAAAGGGAAGTGGAGGAATAGGGAACCCACTGCCAAAATAAGAGAGTCCAATCAAGTCCAGTGAGGAGATGCATAGATGAAGATGAGCTGGGAGGGATGCTGAATTCTGAGAGGCTGGTTGCACTGGAAGAACACAATGGAAGTTCTCATGCAGGTTTTGGGGAAGCAGTAGGGACCATTTGAGAACTGGAGGAGGTCCATCCTTTTGCTGAGGAATAGGACCCACTTGGGCTTCACCTGAGGACAGGTGGCAGAGGTGGGGCCCCACGGGTGGCTGGAAAAAAAACAGAAAGAAGCAAATGTCAGTAAATCTGAAGTTATAAGCCCTGAAATGAGAGGTAAGAAATAATGCCCATTTAACTAAACTTCTGTACTCTGTACAAGTTATAAAAATACTTTCCTTACCTCGGTTTGTTTTGCTGGGGTAAATTCTCTGAAAGTGTTTATATTCTTCTGGAGCAGGGAAGTCTTCTACTGGATGGAAGGAATACTTGGACTCAAAATCATCTGCCAGAGGAAAAATAAGTGACTTTACATTTTCTCAAGAGAACTCAAAAAAAGACTATTAAAGTGGCCCAGTTTGGGTTTCAGTGCTATTCTGTAGTAGGGAGAAATACTACTCTGTGTTCCAAGGACAAGATTATCCTGGGTTCTCTAGGGTCCAGTTTGAGGACAAGTGAACTGGATCTATAACTGACTTAAATGAACACAAAAGAGGAGTTTTATCTCCAGCTAGTGACTGATTAAGCCTAAAACGTCCTCTCCTGACCAGAAATTTTATCAATGAAGTTGTGGCAGCACTATCACCTGACTCTGCCCATGACATTTCCTGAGGTTTCCCTCAAAATTGTTCAAACTTTCAATAGGGCATGACTTAGGCATTCCCCAGAAGCCTACACAAAGTAGTCTAAAAGAAATTAGGACACCTGTTTTGGTCCTGATCAAAGAAACATCTCCAAAGCAAAGGAAGACATAATGGTCAACCAAGAAATAAATCTCAGAAAAGGACAAGTAGGCAAAGAGCAGGAAAGAGAAGGATGTATAGTTTCAACCTCTAACCAGTAATCCAAAGATGTACAGACTGTCTTGCTGGAGAAGATACAAAGAGAAAGAACCAACAATCATACTATAAAAATTAAAAAAAAATTTCACTGTATTAAACTCCTCAAAAGCAGGGGGGGAAAGATGGAGATAGAGATTATAATACACTACTAAGACGCCAAAAGGTACTCAAAGAACCCCATCTGAACTGTAAGCTGGGTATCTGTCATGATTGTGAATGAGGACTTTACATACCCAAGAAAGATCGAACTGCTGCAATAGAATCTCTGTGGCCATTTCTCAGGGGCGGTGGAGGTGGTGGAGGTGGCCCAGCTGGTGTCCTTGAAGGTGGAGGTGGGGGTTTTCCTCTGCTTAGGGGTTCTGTAGAGCCATGAATTCGGTATGGTGGAGGTGGAGGCGGAGCATCCCGGGCACCATTTCGAATTAAGGGTGGTGGGGGTGGAGGAGCTGCAACAACCCAGAAAGAAACATGTAGAACACTGAATTTGTAGAAGGTAGATAAGTTTGGGGACATGTTTAAGTAGCTCCTCAGATAGAGTCAGAGCCTGATCTCTCCAAGGAAGCATCTTTGAAACAGTCAATCAATAAGCATTTATTAAGTGCTTACTATGTACCAGACACAGTGCTAAGCTGGGGACACAATGAAAGGCAAAAACGGAACTATCTTCCCCAACCAATCTTTCTACAAACAAGCCAGATACCTTCCATTCCGAACTTTTCTACTTCACAACCTGGCTCCAACCTAACCTTTCCAAACTTACTGCACATAATTTCTCTTCACATGCTCTACAGTCCTGCCAAAATGGCCTCCTTGCTGTTCCTTACACAAGACACTCCCTTTCTCAACTCCTTGCCTTTGTATAGGCCATTCTCCCTCATCAGGAATGTGCTACTACCTCACTTCCTTCTCCTTTTCAAAATCCCAGTTTCTTTAGCTCAAGGGTCATCTTATATGAAGGCTTTTCTTTATCCCCAAGCTGCTAGTACCTTCCCCTCCTCCCAAAAAACCACTTACATTTATGCATTTATTTTGTATATATTGTGTAAATATTTATATATGTACATGAAGGCAGGGGCTGTTTCCTTTCTTGTATTCAAATCCTTAGTGCCTAGTAATATTGGTGAATTGAATAGTATCACTAGCCTCCAGTCATTAAGGTTCACTCAAACCTCAGGGTTGGTGGTCTTCATCATTCCTGATATCTAATCACTCACCAAAGTCCAGATGATTCTGTTTCCAAAATGTCTTAATTTGTTTCTTCCTCTCACTTCTACTTGGTACTAAAATTTAATCTAATCTATTACTTCTTGCCTGGAACACTGCAGCAGTCTCCCAACTCTATGCTGCCTTCAGTCTCTTAAACTTTTTTTTTTTTTTGCTTTCTGGTGAGGCAATTGGGGTTAAGGGACTAAGTGACTTGCCCAGAGTTACACAGCTAGTAAGGATCAAGCGTCTGAGGCCAAATTTGAACTCATGTCCTCCTGACTCTAAGGCTGGAGCTCTATCCACTGCCCCACCTAGCTGCCTGCCTGTCTCTTAAACTCTTAAATCCATCTCACACACACCATTATCAGATTAACATTCCTAAAACATTTGTTCCCACCATAGGATAGTAGACTCGTAGATCACAAAGATAAAAAGGAACTAAGTGGACATCTATTCCAACCCCTCCTTTTATAGATGAAGAAAATGAGGCGCAGAATGGCTAAACAACTTGCCCAAATTCACACAAGTATTAAGTGGCAGAGCCAGCATTTGAACCCAAGGCTATGATTCACTATTCTAGGCTATTTCCAGTGCAATGAGGTATAAAAATGACATGACTTCAATGTCACTCCCCATCTCAAAAATCCCCAGAGAACTGAATGTTGTGAAATTATAATGATGAAGAGCTTGGTCCTAAATAAGAGATTTGAAAAATGTACCTTACCTCCCTTCTTTACAGTGGTAAGAGGCTATATGAGTGCAACAATACATAAAACGCAGGACACAACTAACGTTTTGATTAGTTTTGCTGTACTTTTCTTAATTCTTTGTTATAAGAGATGGCTTTTTGGATAAGGGATAAATTAGGAAATGAAAATGATATAAAAACAAGAGGTCAATGAAAAAAAATTAGGTTTCTCATTCCCTAAACAAACTCCTCAGTCTGTTACTTTAGGGCCTCCATAATTTGACCTTCAAAATGTCAATCTAAATTTCTCTCCACTTCCTCCACAAAACTCAACCAGGCTGAGCTCAATATTCTCCTGAACTTAGTATGCTCATTCTCAATGTTGTATTTCTATTCATGTGATTATCTGGATACTCTTTCCTTCTCACAATGATACTTTAAGGACCAACTCCAACCTATTCCACAAGCCCTTCCCCATAAGTGGAACTCACACTGACTTGCCTTTCATCTCTACTGCACTGACACTTGTTTTGACACTAAAGCATAAGAAGAATACCTAAAATAATGAAACTTGGTTTTGTGTTTTGTCTTTGTTTTTTAGCAGGGCACTTTTTAAAGTACTCCCTACTCCAACATCCTGCTGCTTCCAGCACATCTTCAATTTCCTGTCTCTTCATTCACACATATACCACCCTAATTCAAGGCATCATCACCTGTTAACAAAACTTCTGAAATAGCCTCTAGTTTGGTTTCTCACTTCCAGTTTCTTCAATCACTAATCCATCCTCCCTAGCATTGCTAAATTTATCTTCCTAAACTGCAAATCTTGCCATTTCTTTCATCAACTCAAATTTTTAAATGGCTATTGACTCTGGGATGCAATACAAAATTTTCAGCCTGAAATTTCAATCTCACTTCCACTATTTTTCCAATTGTATTTCACATTATGCCTCTTTATTCTTTATCCTATGTCACTCGTTCTCTATCCTAATCAAACCAGAATGCCAGCTGTTCCTTGATTTCCATATGCCTTCTCCTGCCTCCGTGTTTTTGTGCAGGATTCCCAATTCCTGGAGTACTCATCTTTTCTCCTCATTTCTACCTCATAGAATTCCTGGCTTCCTTCAAGCCTCAGTTACAGTGCCAACTTTCCTGACCACCCTCTCCTCCCACCTCTCCCACACTTGTTAGTGCTCTCTAACCTCCTGAAATTATTCCACATGTACCTTTTATGTAGTTTCCCCCCTATATCTCTCAAGCAGTGTCTTCCAAAGGGGAGGCGATTAAAAAACATATGTTGAACTGAATTAGAATTTCCTTCACAGCAAGTTTACAACACATAAAAATGAGTCCTTTCTTTAGAGCCAGTGGGTATTTTTATGATTGTGTGTGTGTGTGTGTGTGTGTGTGTGTGTGTGTAATTGTCATGGAGAATGAAGGATCAAAAAAGTATTCATTCCCCAACTTAATAAATGTTTATTAAACTTGAATGAAAATTCCTTTTAGCTAGTCCCAAAAATGAAATCTACCCTGAAAGGATTACAGTTTGCCTCCATTTAGGATTCTCAAAAGAATGTGCTGCAATCTTGAAAAATCAATCCAAAAGAAAAGTTCTACACATTTTTTAAGAAATTGCACTCATGGGGCAGCTAGGTGGTACAGTGAATAGAGCTCTGGCCTTGGAGTCAGGAGGACCTGAGTTCACATCCAGTCTCAGACACTTAACACTTACTAGCTATACTAGGCAAGTCACTTAACCCCAATTGCCTTGAGGCAAAAAAAAAAAAAAATTAAAAAACATATATGGAAAAATATTCACTGTCATGGCTAGGTCATGCCAACATATTAAGAATTACTCTACTGCCTAAATTAATTTAGAGATTTAGTGCTATACCAAATGAGTTAACATAGAACAAAACAAAATAATAACAAAATTCATTTAAAGGAATAAAAGATCTACCATCTCAAATGAAATAATGAAGTAGGCATTAAGGAGGAACAGTGCTTTTGGACCTCAATTTACACTAAAAAGCAAAATCATCAAAACCACCTGGTACTGAATAAAAAACAGAAAAGCAGGTCAATGAGACAGATATGGATGAGAAAGTGAACTTGGTATGCTTGTGTTTGATAAACTCACAGACATAAGTTATAAGGAAGAACTCCCTATTTAACAAAAATTGCTGGGAAAATTGGAAAGCACTTTGGTAGAAATTAGGTTTAACCTTATAGCACATTCCACAATAAGTTCAAAATGGATGTAACCTGAATATTACAAAATACTACCAAACTAAAAAAATTAAAGAATCAGATCAGTTATCTTTCACTGTTTTAGCAATTTGAATTCTTATCCAAAAAAATAAAGGCAATCACAAAAGCTGTCATAGGAAATTAAAAACTTTTCTGTAAACAAAACTGATGAAATTAGGATAAGAAAAGTGGTTAAGTTGGAGAAAAAAATCTCTGCATCAAATATGTCTAATAAGACTCATAGGAATTTGCAAGAACGTAAGACCAGATAAATGGTCAAAGGATACAAAAAAACCAGTTTTCAAAATAAGAATTGCAAACTATTAACAATCATATGAAAGAATGCTTCAAATCATTACTAAAAACCCTGAGGTTTCACCTAACATTCAGAAAATCAGCGAAGATGTCAAAATATGGGAATAGTCAATGCTGGAAGGGTTGAAGAAAACAGGTACATTAATAAATTATTGGTGGAGCTCTGAATTAGTTCAACCATTCTGGAAAGCAATGTGAAATCATACAAATAAAGTGGCTAAAGAATTCACACCTTCTACTGTTGGGTATATATCCCAAGGATGTAACCGATTAAAAAAAAAAGAAAAATTACATATACACCAAAATATTTATAAAACAATTTTTTTCTGCTAGCAAAGAATCAGAAACAAAGTAGATGCTATCCAAATGGCTTAAACCAATTGTGGTACATGAACGGATAGAAATATACCGTGCTGTAAGAAATAAAAAAACGTGAATACAGAGAACGACAAAAAGACTTACATGAACTGATTAAAGTGAAGCTGAGTCAAGAAAACATACATGACTGCAACAGTGTAAATGGAAAGACCCACCACAATACAATAAAAATTAATGTTGTGATGAAGAGGAGCCAAGATGGCAGATAAGAGGCAACCCAGTTGAACTCTGTCAACATCCCCCTCCACATAGCTTTAAAATAAAGGCTCAAATCAAATTTTGGAATGGCAGAGACAACAAAGGGTCAGGGTAAGACATCTTTGTGGCCTAAGAAAACTTAGGAGGTGAGCAGAAAAACTTTGTGACACCAGGGTGGAAGCCCATCTGGAGCTCACATATGCAGTGGAATCAGCAGTGGCTGCAGCAGCAGATTCAGAAGCTCTCAGCCCAGAGACAGTAAGGGGGTGGGACAACTGGTCAGACAGAGATCACAGGGGACCTTTTGCTGGCACTAACTGGCAACTCTATTGCCCATACACAGTTCTGGGTCACAGTTCTAGGGCAGAGAGGAACACTGGTGGGTGGGCACAAGGTAGCAGGGGCCCTTGG